TCTCTACCCCTTCGACCCCGACGATCTAGCCAGCTTTCTATCCACCTTACAGTCCATTCATCCAGCCCATACTTCTTTAACTTGGCGGCAAGAATACTGTGGGAGACTGTATCAAAAGACATAGAGGTCTCTTTAAATCGATGTCTGTACTCCTCCCCGATGAGGGGAGTAGCGCTAAATTTGACATGGCCATGTCAAATTAGGGTAGGGGTGTATGGAATTCGACACTAATAGCCCCGGGAGCTATCCCACAGTGCACCACTCTGTTGACGCTCTGGACAGCAGTCCGAGCTCGGATGCTCTGACCAGCCACACAGGAAAAGCCCCGGGAAAATTTGAATTCCTTTTCCTGTCTGGCCAGTTTGAATCTCATTTCCTGTTTGGACATCGTGGCGACCTCAGCAGCACTGGCAACGATGCAGAGTTCTCCAGCAGAGGTGACCATGCAATCTCAGAATAGAAAGAGGGCCCCAGCATGGACTGATCGGGAAGTATTGGATCTGATCGCTGTGTGGGGCGATGAGTCCGTGCTTTCAGAGCTGCGATCGAAAACACGGAATGCGAAGATCTATGAGAAGATCTCAAAAGCCATGACGGAGAGAGGATACAGCCGGGATGCAACGCAGTGCCATGTGAAAATCGAGTAGCTGAGACAAGGGTACCAGAAGACCAAAGAGTCAAACGGACGCTCCGGATCCCAGCCCCAGACATGCCGTTTCTACGAGGCACTGCATTCCATTCTAGGTGCGGCCGCCACCACTACCCCACCACTGTCCGTGGACTCTGACGATGGGGTATTGTCGACGGCCGCTTCCTCGGAGCTGTTCGCGGACGGGGAAGACGAGGAAGGAGATGAGGAGGACGAGGCAGTCAACAACGCTTCAACGCTGATTTCCCCGACAGCCAGGATCTCTTCATCACCCTCACGGAGATCCCCCACCAACCCTCCCAAGGCCGTAACCCGGACCGTGAATCAGGGGAAGGATCAGTAGGTAAGTGTTTTAAACATTTATTTTGAACAGAATAGGAATGGTATCTTAACAATAGGTTTTTCATGATTAGTTTGCCCTAGGTGCTTTAGTTTTTAGTCCTTGCCAGTGCAGCTACTGGAAAATTCTGTCAACATGTCCGGGGATAGAGCAGAAATCCTCCTGGGACATCTCCAGGAAGCTCTCCTGGAGATATTGTGAAAGCCTTTGCATGAGGTTCCTGGGGAGAGCGGCCTTATTGCGTCCTCCATGGTAGGAAACTTTTCCGCGCCAGGCTAGCAGCAAGTACTCCGGGATCATTGCCTCGCAAAGCATGGCGGCATACGGCCCTGGTGTTTGCTGGCATTCACGCAGCATGCGCTCTTTCTCTGTCTCCGAAATCCTCATCAGAGTGATATCACTCATGGTGACCTGCTTTGAATTAGGGGAATGTTAGTATTGGGACTGATTGCCTGTTCCTTTACATAACTGTAACCGGCTGTTTACAGCCACGTGGTGGAGGTGGGACAGGGGTAGCATGCAGGGATCTTTCCCGGGGACAGCCGTGAGGCGGGTGGGACAGAGGCAGAGTTCATGCTGGCTGGATTGCCGGCAACAGGAACTGGTCAACGCTAGGAGCATTGCTTGGAACGTGAAAGGAGGGCACTGCTATAAATTAAGCTTTAAGCAGCCAAAAGTCTACGGCTTACCATGTCCGCCTGCTAGCCAAATTCCGTTGTCCAGCCCCGCTTGTGTGATCTGTAAAGCAAGACCCCAGGCACTGAATGCGAAGGCCGAAAATTCGACCTTGTACTGAGTGTGCACGTGATAGGTAATGTGCATGGTCTTGTTCACAGAGAAAGACTATATTCATTGTTTGCAAAACTGTATCTTTGTGAGGAATTCACTCCCTTTTTCCCATCCCACAGCTGCGAGTGTCTCCCGAGCTACCCCGGCATCCCCCTCCCAGAGGCAGGCGCAGATCAGGCGACGAAAGAGAAGGACATGGGACGAGAGGTTCTCAGAACTTATGGGCTGCTCCCGAGCCGAGGTGGCACAGCAGACCCAGTGGAGGGAGAACATGTCACAATACCAGTGATCACACAGCGAACAGGAGGACAGGTGGCGGCAGGAAGACCAGCAGGCGACTCAAACGCTGCTTGGACTAATAAGAGAGCAAACGGACACGCTCCGGCGCCTTGTAGATGTTCTGCAGGACCGGAGGCAGGAGGACAGAGCCCTGCTGCATTCTCTCTCTAACCGCCCTCCACCGCCACAAAGTCCCATCCCCCCCTCACCCAAAGTCCCAAGAAGGAGGGGCGGCAGGGGCCGTGAAAACTGTCACTCCACCCCGGCAGACTGCTCAAGTACCAGAAGGCTCTCATTCCCAAAAATTTGATAAGTCCTTTCCTTCACTCCAAAAGCACCTCACCCAAGCCCCGTCCCAGTTTCAACCCCTAACTGTGTTGTTGTTAATAAAAAATACGTTTCTGCTAATTACTGTTTCCGTCATGTTCTTTTAGGGGAGAGCGTGTTTGAAGGGGGGGAAGGAGGTTGGTAATTGGAGAGGACAGTCACCTTTACCAGGGTACAGACACGGGGGCAGGTTCAGCAGAAGGTCACCCACACATTGCAGTCACTAGGCACCCTGGTCAGTCTGGGAGGTGGTTTTCATGTTCTGGGGGTGGCGGGGGGAGGGCTATGTGACTTTGTGGCGGGGGGGGGGGGGGGGGGGGGTGGGGGGGTTGGGGGGGGGGGGGGGGGGGGGGGGGGGGGTGGGGCGGGGGCGCTGGGGTGGGGGGCA